TGTAATAAAGCTAATACTAATTTTGGCAATTTTTATATGTAGTGTTTTGTGATTTAAAAAATATTTTATAAGTGTAATGAAAATACATAATAATGTGTACATGCATTAAAGTTATATACAAATTATATATGTACAAACATATTTTTAATTAGTTATTAAGCTAATTTCATTATTTCGCAATGTTAATGTTATAATGTTTTTTATTGTTGAAATCAAGGGATAACGTTTTTAAAATTATATGTTCTTTATTTTTGAAATATGATTTGGACAAAATCTGTAATGGTGAACAAATACTTATTAAAATTGATTTCCCCTTATGCTTTTATTTTTTCTTACTTTTAACGATCTTTATTATTATAGTTCTCTTTCTTTTCGGCTAATTTAGTTTCATTTTTTTTTAATTTGGATTTTTTTCATGTAAGTATGTGTTTACTTTTCTACACTGTTAAGACAATAATTAAAAATTTTGAAATAAAAAAAAAATATTTAAGAACTTTTCATTAAATAGATCATTCATAGCCATATGAAAAGTTTTTAATGTCTTAAAATCGCGTTAAACTTTAAGAAATTTCACATCTTATGTAAGTAGGTAGGTAGACCTACAACTACATATGTATGTCTAAATTGTTAATTGTCATATAACTGAATTTTCTTTCATTCTATTGATCCTAATTAAAATTTAATATACCTACTTACCTATAATGCGAAGTGATTTTTTTTAAAGTTCCTTCGAGTATAACACTTATTTATAGAAAAGTAACCTAACAGTTTAACTACTTATCTTGTATCTAATTTTCTTAGTTTTAAATCTACAAAACAAAGTGACAAAATTTAAATTCACTGTCTTTTTAGGAATAAGTGAGACACATGCATATATGTGTGTGTGCATCTCGCTTATTCCTAAAAACACAAGCGAAAATTACGTTGTACGAGCACTTATGTACATATACATAACATTCACTCTCTGTGTTTTCACCGAGTCAGTTAAAAATTGATTGAACGCACGGAATGCTTCAAATATTTATTCAATATTTAGTCGATCCTAGTTTTACCCGTTTAGATGAGATATTTAGGTTAATTATCTATATAAAAGAAATTCAATTTGACAGTCACATATTTAGCATCAGAAGTTAAATGCTTTTATACTTAAGTATGTGTTTTAACATTTTATTGAAAAGATAGGCAGACGCACGGAACGAAAAATTTAATATGCAAATTATTTAAAAATTATATTTAAAATACGGTATTTATTAAATAAAAATTTTATAATTTTTGTTAGTTATTGTTATTGTTTCCTTTATTTTTCATTTAAAGTACCATGAATTAAGTATTAAAAATTAATACTTATATTATATTCATGTACTTACATATATAAACATAATATAAAAATTTTTATTGTCAACATTAAAAGATTTTTGGAAAAAAGATTCCATATTATCCATATTTCTCATTGTGAGGAATTGTTGCTTCCTAAATATTTTTGAAAAATTATCATATACTTACATAACATGCGATGAATTATCATATGAGCGAACCCCGATATATTCACATCGTAATAAGTATATTAAATTTATTAAAATTTTTTCGAATTAAATCATTGCGGTACTTTTTTGTGAATAGTGTGAAAAAGGAATTGATTACTAATTACTAATTATTTTATGATTACTAATTATTTTGTGCTTATACTTTGAAAATTATGTATGTTTCAAATGAATACTTTATTATGCTATGTATATATAACGTACCTAATGTTCACGATGAAGTCGAAAAATTCTTAGATAGACGAAAAAAAAGCTTTTGACAGATTCAGCGTCTTTATATAAACGACATAACAAAACTAATATGTTAGAGGCTATTAGAAAAAATTAAATATTTTAATTCAAATAATTTCATTTTAATGGTACTTAATTAAAATACAAAAATGTATAAATTTAATATATTTTAAATTTCAATTTTTTAATACTTTTAAACGTTTAGAATTTGTCGTCGGTTAAGAAGCAGAAAGCATTTAGTCAGGAAACTGTGTTTTGAGTAAATTCAACTTGAAAAAATTGTAAAATGGTAAAACTAATCAATTAGTGCAATTCGATTGGTCTCTTTAATTTCTCCACAACAAAGATTATATTATTCTGATTTAATTCATCTATGAAATCCGAATTCTCAAAAAATGCACTTAGTGCTTTCTGCTTTTTAACCGACGTTGTGAACTATTGATAAAAAAGCATAGCAAATTGTGATATATGTATAATAAGTTGACATTTTTACATCATTTAACTTTAAAATAATGCACGTTTTAACTTATTGATACAAACTCAACCAAGAAAACAAAAGATTTTCTTGATTACATATTAAAAGACCTAGAGTATTTGTCTAAAACTATTTGTGTTAAATACTTACAACTCAAACTTTCTGTTGTCTACCCACAGTTAAAATCATAATGATATTATACAACAATATGTGTTCATTTGTTAGTTATATCTACAAAGCAAAAATAAATTGCTAAACGTAAGTAGTATGAAAAATTTAAAATATTTTCTTCAGAAACAATTTAATAATGTTCTATATAGGTATAAATCTATTTAAGTATATAGTAAAAATTGTAGATTAAAAATTAATTACAGTAAATATAAAACTTTTCTTTGCAACTTTAATCTGTTACCATAAAAAATCGTTGGTTTTAAACTTATAATTAAAATTTTTGATTATTGTTTCAATGTTAACAATTGAACATCAATCATATAAGTATTTTATCTTCACCATAAAATTATGTCAACGTATAATGGAAGATTACACAATATCTCAACCGTAGATTCTCTTAGAAAAGAACATAAACAAATTTTTTTCGTTTTTTTTTCGATTTTTTAAATCGATGTGATTCAATATATTTTTGAAAATTTTATTCAAAATGCACTAAACAAAATAAAATTAATTAGGTGTTACTTATAAAGGATAGTCTAAAACTATAGTTGTTAATAATAAAAGCAATAATCGAGATAAGCATTTCATTAAGTTGCACTCTAACTCTTAAGAATTTTAGTTTTTGAGTACCTATAACTAAAAAAAATTTTTTTCTTATTTTTTGTCATAAATAAAACTTAATTATATTTTATTATAATCATTATAACTTTTTAAAAATGTTTTAATTAAATGTATTTTCAAATTATGTAATTTTTTATTTAGCGTGCAACGAGCCCTGCGTTTTATTTTGGCGACATATAATTTAGAAAAACTAAATAGGTTTCTCCCAACAACGAGCTTAATTAATTTATGGTTTCCAATTACTTTTTGGTTTCTTTGGTGTTCAGGTTGGTGCTGTTAAGTTTCAAGCTTTACTAATTTTAACTTTATATAGGTATTAGGTCTAAATTAAGCAATTTAGGAATTCGCAAATAGAAAATACTATATAATTTTAATTTAATAATTACAAGTAGGTACTAATTTCTTAATCCTTTGAACTCTTCAAAAGTAATATTATGCTGGTCAACGGTCATTAAGTATGCTGTTCACTTTTATGTTAGATGCGTTAAACTCACTATTTTATGTTTATTTAATAATCAAAATTTATTTGGAACTAGCAATGACTTTAGTACTTATAACCTAATAGTTCAAATCATTTTGAATAATTTTTTTTCTTGTTTAATGGGGTAATAATAACACGCATTCATTAGTCTATGAGGGTTATGCTTGCATATTAGAAACAGATTGTCATTATGGCGTATATATACGAGTACATATGTATAAAAGTATATTGTTTTTCGATTGCTTGTTTACATTTATAATATAAATTTCATATATATAAAACCTGATTAGAATTGCTAGGCTGTTTTTATGTGTTTCACACTTAATGTCATTTATCAAATTAGTAAAATATATCATTTGGTTATTTAGTATTTATTGATATGTCAAGTGATTATAAATATCATGGATATTTATTCAATGTAATGTATAAATTATAACATTATGATAAGCGAATGTTACATGTATTGCATTTTTTTTACTAATAACAGTTATTTCTTCTTCTTATTGATATCTGGAATGGTGTTCATCGTTTTTATAATCAACAACTTCCGATCAATCTCAAAAACTTCCGATGCCAAAACGAATTTCCCAAAATTATCAATAGTTTTTAATATAAACACGGTCATTAAAACACAAACTTTATAAGTCTAAACAATAAGTTCTTAATTTTATTTTTTGCACTAAACTATTTAAATTTTTTAATTTTTTATAAATTTTAAGTATACAAAATTTATATTGTATGAGAAGATGTAAGTTATATTCTTAAATGTGTATGTAACTACAATTCCAATGAAAGTGTTATGGCTAATTCAAATAGTGTTTATTAATTTAGTTCTTTAGAATTTTAGTGCTGCAAAATGTTTTGAAATACATTTTTTTTAATATAACTAGCTTTGTGCGTGTGTGCATATATTTATAGTAAAAAAAATTTACTTTATATTTCATAAAAATATATATAAAGTTAGTTTTAAACAACAAATGAATTCGAAATTCGGATTTTGCAAAATAAATATGACGAAACGTAATAGGCAATGTATATTTAGTGAACCAGTGAATCCTAAGTATAAGTGATTATGTATTGTGTCAAGCAAGAAAATTGTATATGTAAAAAAAGTTTTCACATCAATACATGAATAATATGGCAGAATATAAGCAAAATGAAATAAAACAAGTAGAAAAAAGATCTTCCGCGATTTGCATTGAATAGTTATTCAAATATTTATAATTTACATTCTAAAACAAAATCTTAACTCCAGTTCAACAAATTTAAAAAAAGATCTGCGATATTGTAAAATTTACATCACATTTGTTATATGAAATTATTTTTATAACAAAACTGTTTAAAACCAAATTAACAAGGTTTAACGAAGTATCCTTAATAATTATTAAGGTCGTAATAATTATTAAGAAGACTTAGTATATACAATTGTTAACAGTTTGGATAATTTTAAAAGTGTATTTTACGTTTTCGCGGACTATTGAATGTTATAAATTATGATGTGATTTTCCTTTAATGTGCTTGCATATAATAAATTTATTTATGATAATAATACACAAAAAAACAAAATATAAAATATGCTATGTCGCTATCTCATTTGGTGCTGCATCTGTGTTTTTCCTTAACTTCTCACAAATGAAAATATTTACCTTTTTTGTTAAAAAAAAAAAAAAAATCAGCGATTAGAAATTTGGTTAATTGACTGAAAATAAAACTAAGAAAACAACAAAATTGCATAGGAAATATTGTCGCAAAAATATAATAGCAAAATTAACAGTATGAGTCAGCTAGGAACTGTATATGCTACAAAAAGACGACGGAGAAATGGAAAAAGGTATGTTTAAAAATTTTTAAATGTTCAACATATACTTAACTCAAAAAAAAAAACGTTTTAATAACAATACAATTAATAAGTCTATGAGTTCTATGAGCTCTTTTTTTTTCAATGTATGTTTAGTGTTTTTTCTGCATTTCTTTCTTTTGTTTCTATAAACATTATTGTTTCAATTTTCAATTCGGATTGGTTTTTAGAACAAATTCTTCCTAATATTTAACGTATATATGTGAAAATGCGCTCATCCCTTATAGTGAAGCTTATATTAATTTTGTAAGGAGTTTGTAAAAACTTAAATTAATTTTCCGCCATATGATCAAGTATAAATAGGGTGATTCGGAAAGGTTTACAAGAAAATACACCAAAGGTGGGGTTAAAATAATAATAAATACGGAGGCCGCATAAGTTTCAATACTCATATATATATGGGTGAAAATTTAAAAGTTAGCACATTTGCGTTACAAAAAAGTACATTTAAATAAATACTTTTTTAGAAAATAAATCAAATTATAATTAATAAAATAAAAATTATAAAATCTTTAATTTTAAATAAAAAAAAATTTTAGATTGTAAAAGTAAGTATTTTTGGAAAATTTTGGAAAATTGTCGGAGCGCGTTTTCTGTTTTCATATTAATGAAACTTGTCACAGACCACATTTTTAATTTTCAATTTAAATTTTCATGAACTTCCTCCACAGAAGGATATATTTTAAATTATATTGCAAAATTATTTCATTATTTTTAAACAAAAATCAAAAATTAGTTTTTAAGTTTTAATTTATTTTAATGTCATTTTAACAGAAAAAAGTGTGTTACAAGAATTGTTCAACTGCGTTACTTCAACTATGTTACATCATAAAACTTTTTAAAATTAATCATTTTTTTAAATATTTTGGCATCATTATTTGTTTTAAAGAATACGCAATAAGTCTGTTCGGGCTTGTGGTAAATGTTGTTCCAAACACATCGCTGGAGATAGTTTGATTTTTTTTTGCCGTGAATGTAAAACGCTTTTTTCAACTGTGTTATGTGGTTTTTTTTTAAATATTTTTTTTAAAAATTCAAAAAAGTGGCATATTATTAAGCAAACCAAGTAAACTAACCAACTGTATACTTTAAAATGCAAAAATATGTTGTAGTTTTATATTAATATACTTTTTATTTTAAAATATTCTACTGCGTTACTGTTCAACTGTGTTACTAAATTTAAGTAACGCTACTGAAGACATGGTAAGAAAGTTGATTTTTAAGGCAGTTTACTCTAAGTTGGTGAATAAATTCTTAATAATTTTACATACAAATAGGCGATAACATGTTTTATTGATTATTATACAAAATGCCACAATCTATTTCATATTTTAAATATGTATATTGTTAAAAATGCAAATGAAAAACTTAACCGAATATGTACAACTTCATCGAGAGGAAAAAAGTTAATATCTTAGCATATTCCACAACAGCAGGAAATTGACTGTTTTTGTTTTAATTTTTTTTGTTAATATACTGAAAACTGAATAAAATTTTCCACTGCGTTACTGTTTTGTCAGAAAAAAAAATATTGTTTTAAACTTTTTTCTTTAAATTTAAGCTCTTAATTTTTTTGTTATGAACATTTTTAGAATCAAAAATTAATTTTTAAAGCAGTTATGTAAAAATTCCTGCAAGAAAAGAACTATTAAATAGTTTTATTTTAAAAATAAAAACTTTAAATTTAAAATTAGTAACAAAGTTGAAATAACTTATAATTTATTTTTTTATAAAAATGATTTTTCAATATCACAGAATAAATTTATAAAAATTTATTTATTTTTTATTTTTTAAAGTTTTATAGTAATAAAACTTTAATTACAAATGAGAGTAAGATATGAAAATAATAATTTCCATTGAAGAGATCGAAAAATTTAAGCTATTTTTATCGGTAACGTAGTTGAACTAAATTCAAACCTGAGCTTACTTTTTTGGTTATAATTTCTAAAATATTTACAAAACCTCCGGACCACTTGAGGAGATTGTACATTATATAATAGGCAACTATAAAAAATTAATTTTAATAAAAAATTCTAAAAAAATAATTTGGAAAAAAAAAATTCATTTGTGCCAACTTTTAAATTTTGACCCATATGTAGCTTTTGTACAGTTAAGGTTGTGCAAATTCAATTTTTTTTTCATTTTAAAGTCAATATTGTTTTTATGCATACATACACTGCCTTAGTTAATATAATACGGTGGACATTAAAAAATTTTTCCGAACTGCTTCAATCGGGTCAACTTCCATATAATTCGTATGTTTTTTCTCAATTTATTTTCTATCAGTTTTTTTTAATTTGAAAAAACTATTGAAGAAGTTTTGGTTTGCTTAAAATTGAATTATTTTGGTAGTACGTAGAAAAAAATTTTAACAATGCTTTAGAACTTTAGATATGCTATGATACGAACGTAGTTTTTTATCAACATGCTTTTCTTGCAGGTTTTAAAGTTTTTATTTGTCGAATATATTTTAAATTAAAGGAAATTCAATATGAAGAGTTTTGCAATAAGCGAAAAATATGTTAAGATTTTGGTGAATTTACCCTATGAAAATTTTTCAAATCAATTAAATTTCGTGATTTAATTCAGTACCATTTATATAACTATGAAGAAAGTCGGCATCGATTTAACTTCTATAAATTTTATGAAGCTTATTCTTAAAAAAATTTTTTTTTGAATGAAAACTTCACTCTTTTCGCAATTTTTTTTTTGTAAATATCAAAATTAAACTCCAAAATTTATTTCTATGAAAATCTTTTTAGTATTTTAAGTTGCCAATGACTTAAAATATAAAAGAACGATGGAAATTTTTTTTCCTTCATAAATCCTAAAATTTTTTTAAAAACCATAAAAGGAAAGTAAGAGTTGCTCTCTACGCGGTCGCATTTTACTGACCAGGGAAGTGATACATATACATAAAAGTGACATATATACAAAAATTAATAAAATTACTTAAATTAATAAAACAAGCAATCAATTCAATGAAAATTAAATAATTAAATATAAATAACAAAACAAAAACAGCTTTAAATTCGTTGTTTAAGAAACTTAATTCAAGTTAAGTTATATTTTGTGAGATACCTGCATTTGTTTGTAAGCTGGGCAAAATTTTTTAAAAAAAATTCAAAGTTTCAAAAAATTTCGTACGAAATCATCGGGTTGGAGAAAACTAAAAAAATAAAATGGGAAAAATTTTATTTTTACTAAAGTTTGAATGCTTTTTATTCCGAAACTACATAAAATACAAAGTCAAGTAACATGTTGTTTTTAAACCCTTTACAAGGTTTTATAAAAACTGTTTGAAGCCCCTATCTCTTTCGGAACGGAAGTCTGTAACTCGGAAACCCTTGAAATTTAGCACCTAGTCCAGAACAAAAGTTTTACCCATTTTGGATCACCTAACCAATGGTAAATGTTGTTGTATACCTTTCAGAATCAGCCTGTAAGTATACTCGATATCAGCGTAAATAAAGACATGTTCGTCTGTCCAAACCTAACGTCCATTCACATGTTAGATCAGAAAAAGAAAACGCAAACAAAACTTATGCATAGAAATAATTTCTTTTCTGCGAAACGGCTGAAGTAATTTGAGTGGAGTTTACATTGACAATATTTTGTATGTACTTAAATATGTACATATAATATCTCTTTTTAATACGACGATTGTAGACGATTAAAAAATGTATTAAAATGAGATAAGTATGTACTTAAAAATATTTTCTAAATATTTTAGAATTTATTAATCAATTAGATTATAACAATTTACCATTAAGGAAATAAAAATATTTATGGTATTCTATTACTTTTGATAATTACGTAAGTTGGTGTATATTTGGAATGCGATGTAACGTAATGTCCAGTTAAATATGAGTGCACAAGGCGTACCGCAATAGAAAATACCGTACCGTACAGAAAAATGCCCGTACGAAATTGTTATCCAACGTGCGAGTAATGGTAAATTCTTAAACGTCAAATTTTACAAAATCTGAGTTGTCTGAGTTTACGAATACTCTACTGCGTTTTTACTTTCAGTCAAAGTTTAAATTTTTAAACGTTTAAAAAAAGTCAATTAAGCGTCAAAATTGTAGATTTTTTTTTTTACATGCAGACAGTCTGACGTAGTAATTCAGTAAATAAATTTGATGTATTGAGTGACTATCATTACGTTAAAAATAATATAAAAATATTTTTTTTGTTAATTTTTAATATGTAAGTATAAAATTATTTTAAATTTAAAAAAAATTTTTTTTTTGTTTTGACGTTTACGGATGCTCAAAATTCGAAGTCAATTACGGATAAGAAGTTTACTACATTTCTGTCCGTAAAAGTTTTATGCGTCAGACAATTTGCAGACTGAAAACAAAATTTTGACGTTAAAGAATTTGCGGTAATTATGCCATGACTGTGACTTTAAGCTGCCGTATTACCATATTAATTTATGCAAAATTTCGGTACTGGGTTTAATATTTTCTAAGATATCGCCAAACCACTATTGAAGTTGTATGGCGGCTACCAGAAGGAGCAAAGAAATTTCAACGACTTTTGTCAACCACATCGGTCCTACTTATATATTTACTTGTGCGAAATTTCAATATCACGGCTTTTATAGTTTCGGAGATATAGCTAAATAACTTTTGAAGTTGAATGGCAGTAACCATAGGGAGCTAAGCAATTTCAATGGTTTTTATCAAATACATTGGCCTTACTAATATATTCGTTAGTATGAAATTTCAATATAACAATTTTTATAGTTTCTGACATATAACCAAATAACTTTTGAAGTTTTATGGCATCTACTAGAAGGAGCCGTAGAATTTCAACGACTTCTATCAAACACATTGGCCCTACTAATATATTCGGTTGGGTGAAATTTCAATATCACAGCTTTTACAGTTTCGAAGATATAGCCAAATAAATTTTAAAGTTGTATGGCAGCTCCCGAACCAGTGCTTCGATCATGTCCAATTTAAATAGGGTTCTGGCACTTACTACAGTAAATCATTTGTGAAAATTTGGTAAACTTTGCTTCTTTTAATTTTTTAGTTATCGCTGGGATGGATGGACGGATGGACAGACAAAGCGACTCAGAATTCGACGCTAATCAAAAACATACACTTGAGTCTATATCTCGGACCATTATTTCTTAGCGTTAAAAACGGTAAGGCAAATTTAATATACCCTTCGAACATACGTTCATACGGGTATAATAAAATAAAAGCCCCAAATTTCCTATTTGAAAATCTGGCGGGTATTGTGGTATACCTTATAGGGTAATATATCTAAACTAATTTAATTATCCGAAATTATAATAACGTTATTCTGACGTGCTAAATTAATAAGTTCTATATTTCTGGTATGGCTGTAGTGTCCATCTAATATTAACAAAATGGGGTCATTTTGTTCTAGCTTTGCAGATTCCAAAAAAATGCTTCAACCACTCTGTAAAAATTGATGTTTTTACCCATCTATTATATGCTGCCTTTGAATCATCTGGTTAACTATGATATGCTGCCTATGAATCTACTGGAGCGTTATTCATGAATAATGGATTTCCATTTTTTCTTAGAGAAATAAGATATGGAGGTAAAAATTTTTCTCCAGCACTCATACAACTTATGACAGTCACCAGAATGCCCCTAATATTGGACTAGCTGGTCTTCAATTTCTACGCCAAAAACTGGTTTCCTACACAGACGAGGGGCAAATATTTCCTTATATTTTTGAGCTCCGTGCATAATTTTGCAAAGTAGTATGTGGTACTCCATATGTTTTTGAAGCCAATAAAATGCCCATTACTCCATTACGAACTGCTTCCATTGCTTTTCGCATAGAAATCTGGTCATAAGCTCTTATTTCCTTCCCTTTTTAGGCATTGTCAGGTTGACCTAAAGCTTAATATGTGCTGCTAATGTAGTACTTATAGTATACCAAAATACCCTCATTAAGATATACCGCATTATCAAAATTCAAACTAAAATTAATGAATTTAAAGCGCATCCAGTTTCGCACGATGGCAAATTTCGACTGAACAAAACTTTTAATTTGAACAAAGTAAAATGAAATTGAACATGATTAGACAAGATTCACTTTATTAAATATTGTTAAGCTGTAAATTCTGTTTAAATAGATAATTGTTACACGTACAGTATAAGAAATAAATTGCTATCCCGCCTATACGACATTACTTGCACTTACTCTGGACACAAAAAATAGAATTATATAAATTTTGTAAAAAATACAACTTTAGATACATACTATTACATTAGTATTTTTTCTATATATAAATTTCAGTCGTTTAATTACTCAGTTTAACTCGGTTTTGGGAAATTGAGGCTTTGTGAAGAATCCAATTGCGCGGTATCTATTCTTAACCTTCAGCTTGTACGTGATAAACTGGTCTTATTCAATTATTTACGTGTATTAAAATTATTTTTTTTTTGTTTTTTATGTATTTTTACGATTCTGCCATTTTGTTTATCGCAGCAATAACTTAAAAAATCATCTACATGAGCTAACCAAATTTTCACAAATTGCTTTAAGCAATTACGATACGAATTTTATTTTATATAGATTCGATCAAGGCAGTGACTCCAAAATCTGTTTTACAATTTTAAAAATAATTTATTTTAGACACTATACGTAAGGCGATATGCCAACAAGCCCGTGGCTACCAAAACTTTAGCAAGAACTGCACGACAGATTTGTTGGCAGCTGTCATATAACTCTTTTAATATATTCCTCCCGATGTCAGAGAGTTGGCAATGTCAATCTCCTATAGTTTTTTGCACATATTCAAAACAAAAACAAATTTATGAATTAGTGCAATATATCTGTTTAGGACATGCTGTTAACAATATTTTTTGTTTATAAATTATTATGAGTAACCCAAATTGTAAATTTTCTTAAAAAAACTATTATTGTTATTATTCCAGCCTCAAACCACCGCCGAAAGATGGAGTGACGAAGAGCAATCCGTCAAAAAGACATCGTGAAAGGCTTAATGCCGAATTAGATTTGTTAGCGTCATTATTGCCATTCGAGCAAAATATTCTTAGCAAATTGGATCGCCTTAGTATACTTAGATTATCAGTTAGTTATTTAAGGACAAAAAGTTATTTTCAAGGTAAGTAAAATTTTGAAAATTTTTTTGCTTTAGTTATTTTAATTTTAATACACTCTAATATATTTCGTTCTTACTAGTAAAATATTTTTTTAAAGAATCTTAAATTTGCAGATTTAAAATTTTTCGAGTAAAGTAAGACTGGTTATTTAGTTAAATACTTATAGAATAAAAATTACTTTCTTAGCTATAGTTGTTGGTTTCTTGTTGAAAACTTGGGACATTTATTTAATTTTACTTTGAATTGGTGTCGTTCTAAATGTACGAATATTTTTATTTTTGGTGAAGTAGAAGTTTGAACAAATATGGTTGTGTTATACAATAGGTGGGAGAGCATTGGCAATATACATGGGAATTGGCCGTTATGGGAGGGTATAGTTAGGTTGAGATTGCTTCAAATCAATGTGTAAGAGCTGCCGCAAAATAAATAAAATTTACCCTTCTTTCACCATTTTTGCGAAGCAGTCGCGGTTAATCATTTGTTAAATAATAAACCAATCGTTTGTTGTTCATAAGTGATTAGTTCAAAATTTTTAAAGATGAAAAAGATTTAGAAATTACTAATCGAAGAATAGGTTCGAGGATAAGTTGTAAATTCAATTGGAACGAGCATTTTGGCGAATTTTTGATGAAGACAGAAAGAATAATGAAACATTCACAACACTTTTATTTACGAAAATTTTAAATTTATTAAACTGATCTTATGAAGGGTATTTTGCTGTGACTTTATAGGTTACTGAAATATTCGTCCTTGTTTAAAGTTCAAATATTCGTATGAGACTGTAATGAATTCTTAAATGAATATAATATGTTTTGTTTTAATGTCCATTTTCCAAAATTTTTTTTATTAAATATTTTAATGATTTAATAAAATATTCGTGTGAATTATTCATTATATCAAATTATATTTAAAGCACGTTATAAAAAATTTTCTTGTTTTTTTTTTATGAAAAATGTTATAAAACTTTTATCTTTGAATGCAATCTTTTTGCATGATAGTAACTAACAATTTAGTATTAAAGAAATAAGAATGAAATAAAGATTACATGTAAATCTATCTAACTAAATTCATATTATAATGCCGTGTATATTACAAAGTAAATAAGTTTCCATTGGTCATTCCTGAAATTTTCAGCTGTTTGAATAATTTCGGCCAAAGCATGATGTAGTTACATAATAACAAAAATTTCTGAATACCTAGAATGAAGTTTTAAAAATATTAAAAAAAAAAAAACAATTTTGATATCTTTCAGATTTGTTGCATGGAAAAAAAGTTAGTGGGCCAGGATGACTAAACGAGATCATTTTATTATATAGTTGAAATAGTTTTAATTAAATAACTCTTATCAGTGCTCTACGATTTAGTTTAATATATATTACGTACTCTGACATGTATATCTTACTCTTATATGTATATAACAAATGAGATAGTGGGTATTTAAAGATTGTACAAATTATATGTAGATGTTAATATTTTTTAATTAGAATTTTTACTTAGTTCTGTTCTGACAAATTAAATGTATTATTTTTAATGTTCTAGTAAAAATATTCACTAATTTAATTATAATATTTCGTCTTTGTTTTTTTATCAAAATGTAAAATAAATAATCTTTTGTATGTGTATCCTAAAGATAAAATTTATGTATGTGGTCAAGTTGTGAGGCAATTATACGGTGGAGTAAAAAGAAGTATACTATTGTAGTGTATGCTAAATTTGCAACACAAAACCAACTAGCTTTTTTGTTAAATTTTTTTAAATATTAAATTAAATACAAAAAGTTTTTTTTGTATAATTTCCAGTTACTTAAAATTAAATAATTTATTTAAATTTATATTTTCGTATACAATTGTTTTTTCTTTTAGTTGACCCGCAACTTTACCTTCAAGAAAGACATTTTTTGTGCACTGAAAATTGTAAAAAAGTATGTCTTTGTCAATTGTAACTCTTATTCTGATTTCTTGATCCTTTTTGAAGGTGCTTTAGTTCTTGCAGCAATTATGTTAGGTGGCATATTTCTCCAGCATCTTCTGAGGTTTTCCGCGGGTGCATTGCGTGTTTTGATAGCTGGCACCTGCTAAGCTTACTGTACCGTTCGAAACCTATTTTGTTGTTGCGTAGTTTTAGTGTTGTAAGTAAAGAAACAAAATATTTGCGCTAAAGTAATTAAGTCGACGGCTTGGCTTTAGAACTTTTTCGATATAATGTCTATTTCTTAGACTTTTTTAAAAGTAAGGTATTGGAGATACGATATACCGGTAGACAGTGGATATTCTGAAAGGAGAGTGTTCCTAATAAAGAGGTCTAAGGGAAGACAATCAGGGAGTTTCCCTAGGGTCTGCTACTTTTGCAAACAGCATGCGATATAAAGACAATTTAGAGAGAAGGAATTGTCATTGAACCTGTACAAGATTAGAATAGCTCCTTTTAAAACAACTACAAGAATATCTTTCTATATACTTAATGCATTTCGCTCGAAACCTCGTATATCATTGGATATTGTGTATAATTACTTAATGCGCTCTTAAGTATTGCAAAACATAATTATATGAGGTTTTTCTAAAAAAAATTATTTGCCACATCCTTTAAAGAATTTTAAAATTATTCGAATCGTTAGAAAATTTTGCGAGTTCAAGACCCAGTCAGAGCTTATATTATATATTCTTCAGTAGCATAATTTTCTCACCTTGGAGAGTTGGAGTATTTTTTTTTTTATGATTTTTTCCTTATGATAAGATTAAAACTTATCTAATTTGATTTTTGACGAAGTATGATAAGCACTACTTTGTTTTTAAAATCTTCTTAACTCAAGAAATCCATTAGTTGACCCATTATATAAACTTTTTTCTTGTGAGGCTGTCAGGACAAAAATCTGATATCGATCAGGCCTGTCTATTCTATATAAATGTAATACAATAATCATTAAAAACTGCAGAAATATTCAGGCAGTTTGTATAGTTTATTGATAAAGTTCTTCATCGAAAATATTCAATGTAATATTCAATAAATTTTGATCTCTTCAATGTTTATTACCGAAATATTTAATAAAATCGCTAAAGTTTTTGAACAACACTCAATACCTAATTTTTGTTATTATTCTCTAAAAAGAAAAATTTTAAACAACAGTTTTATTAATAGATTTCATAAGTTAAGACGTTGGGTACGAAATCCATGTTTTAATCTCGTTAAAAAATGGGTCCAGTGAAATTTTTACAGCGACCTTGGATTCGTGAAATTGATTAATGTTTATTGTAAAAATAATACAAGTTTTAATAATAAAAATTTTAAAATGTTATTTTGAACGCATGTATGTACATACATATAAAAATTTATATTTCTAATATATTTTATCTTTTCGTTATCACAAATTTAACTTAACTTTATTTTTCAGTTGTCATGCATAAGGAAAAGGAGGAGAGTAGTATATTATCACATTTAAGTGTACATGATGGTTATAGAAGTCGGGAGCTAGGAGCTTTCGAGCATAGTTTATTAGACGGTGATATGTTCCTGCAGGTATGAATAATTTTTATAATGAAAGTAAAATTGAAAGCTGACGTATGAATAAGTAAATAGCATATTAATTTGATTGTATTGCAATTTTTTAAGAACTTGAAATATAATTAGGGAGAATAGAGGAAAATGAACATAATTATAGTTACTTATTGTAAAAACGTTGTAAATTCTCAAATTAGAACTAAATTCTTAATAATTTCGGGTTTGAGTTCATAAAATTTGAGAAAACACTTGTGTCAGACCGATTTCAGGCCACACAAGTTTTTATTAAATTGTTTTAGGTTTCTTATTGTTAAATAAAGCAACGAGACTGAAAAATGGATTATGGAATGTCTTTTTACGGAATATTATCGAAAACGTTTGAACAGTTCTACGAATTTTAAGTCAGAATTTTTTTCGAAAAGTACAACAGTGGAATTTTCCACAATGGCCAATTACTGTACCATTAGTATGGTGTCAAATATCTCAGTTACCCTTGATAATTTCGCTTTCAATTCGATGTATTATATTTATTTCTATCTAAACGACAGAAGTTTTGTAAATGAACGAACAGACAAAGTAAAATTAGTGAATTTGTACACTTGTATAAATAATAAGATCTGTATGTCATAAACATTTCAGTTTTCTTCCTAAACGTTAGAAGTTTTTTAAACGGAACGATAAATTAAACAGAGTAAAATTAATAAGCATATTTTTTCCAAAATTTTTTTTTATAATTGTTATCTAAAAGTATAATTAAAATAATAAAATACGTAGTACTTTTGAAAAAATATTTACTTTTCAATGTAATAAACAAGAAGTTGCAACGATTTTTCTTAAATAAGCAACATAAGTATAAGAAAATTCCTTATTGAATAAATTCAAAAGCCAAACCGCACAATTATCTTTATTTTCGATAAAAATATTTATTTGTTGAAATACATATGTACATATATATCAACTTCAAAAACTCATTGTAAAGATGATCACTTCTTTTTTCTATTGATTCCGTGAACAATTTCAAGTCTTTTTCAGTTAAGTTAATAAACAAATACTATAAACCAATGATTAAGTTATATAAAAAATATATATTCGACTATCTCAAAAAATATTCATAAAAGTGAAAACAAAAAGTGTACATTAATGAATCTAATGCGATTTTAATAGTCACGAAGAATTAAATGAAATCAAATTGTGAGTTAAAAAAATAATATAATATTAAGAACTTCACAGAAGCAGAGAGAATCACATATTTACAACATGTGAGCGATTTACTAATGACATAAAAGTAATAAAATTTTTAAATCACTGCTACGTTCATACACATTTTTTATTTTATTTGCTTCCTATTGTTAATTAAGGGGTTCAATGTTTTAAACAGGTATCATAGAAATACTTAATAAATTGAGGTAAAAAATTTAATCCATATGAAGCTTAAACATGGTGATGATTATGATTATGAAGTATGTATTTTGTTTGAATATTCGAATTTCAGAACATATTCATGTACTCAAAAATATATATACTATAAATGCATGCATATGTACATGTTTATAATATAATAAACATAAAAACAGAGCACAAAGAACATACCTGAATTTATTAAATTCGAATCAAAAATAATACTTGGATAAAATTGAGATTACACCAAGTGGTGCAGTCTTGTTTAATTGCAGGGAAAATGAAAGGACGAGTAAATTCTTTTATTATATAAAAAAGCAGCGTTTTTGTTCATTTTGAATAATTTTCTTATTTAATAAAATGTATATAGTTCCAATCAAATATGTAAAATTATACATTCTGTTTTTTTATTAGGCATAATTATAAGAAACTTATGAAATTAATTTTTTTCAGACTTTTTCCATATTGAACATCCTGAAAAATAGGTTTAAGAAAACCTTTTGTGATTGAATTAAATTTCTAATTCTTTCTCTATTTGCTTTATTTTTTTTGTCCACACTGCGTCAAATAATCTTTATGTATAATAAAATATTGTAACATGCATATTTTATGTTAAACATTTTTTTCAACATTTCCAACCAAGTTGAAAAGAAAATATATGTATTGAAATTTCGCATAAACATGTATACTATTAGGGCTATTATGTTTGATTAAAGTCATTAAAACACTACAACTCCTTGCGCTAGCTGCCATTGAATGGTCGGTCTCGTCTTGCTCTCACATGATTTTTTCGGATTTCAAAAACTACAGCTGCCAAATATGTATTATCAATAAAAATTATATTATTCATTGAGCAAAATTACATAAATTATTAATTTCTAAGTTTTCAAAACTTTCTTAATATATTTTTCGTTTTCACTTTGTTGCAGGCATTAAATGGATTTCTTATGATTCTTACGTGCGAAGGAGAAGTATTCTTTGCTACACATAGTATAGAAAGCTATTTAGGATTTCATCAGGTAATTTTCTAGTTTATCTAAATAAAACTATGGCAGAAAGAAAAAACAGAAACGAAAATACATTTCGATTAAACAGTATGCTTAATTTACTTTTAGAGGAAAATTATGTTGTATATGTATATATTTTTTTATTCCAACTTCGCTCCTGAGAGGAGCCTAGGGCTGAGTGCACGATATTGTAGATAACCATAATAACCAGTTCCTCACGTTATTCAGTTTACTAGGTAGATGGCGAGCCTACCGTAGTTTTATATATTAATTTAAGGTTATTTATATTTACTATTTTATTTTGCTGCTATTTTTAATATAATATGTACATATAAAAAAGTTACTATTATTATATCGATACGAAAAAGATTTATTCATATCGAAACGAAAAGATTATTTTCATATTTATTGGATGCGCGTAGAGATATGTTATAAGCATCTAAGTGTAAATATTAATAATATCTAACCTGATTTTTTTAGAGGTCGCTAATTGACTCCTTTCGGTCTTTGGTCTAAATAAAGTAATTCAATCACTAATAGCCTTGAAAAAATATAAAAAAGCATAAATTCTAATGCTTACTGAAAAAAAATCAAATTAGGTCACTAAATGGACTTTCTGAGGGTGACAAAAGTTGATGGGAAACGACTCATTGAAACTTGCTTTTGAGTGAACCAAAGATGTAAGAATATGTAAAATATTTAAAAATTCTTCAAAGATGTCTTCATTTTGTAAATATATGTATATGTTTCGAAATTGTATTGCATTTTACAAGGATTAAAATTGAGAGAAATATTGAGGAAAAAACCAAACAAACACGATTTTCAAATAATGAAAATATCACATAAATGTATTTTACGCTTTTTGTTTTATAGTCTGATATTGTACATCAATCAGTGTATGAGCTTGTTCACTCTGAAGATCGAGAAGAATTACAAAGGCAACTGCTATGGAACTCGTTGTTACCAGCAGATTTGTCTGGAATAAGTTTAGCGGAAGCGTTGGGACCAGAAAAATTACAAAATTTAGAAAGAAGTTTTACGGTACGTTTCCGTTGCTTATTGGATAATACTTCTGGGTTTTTGAGATTAGATATACGAGGTAGAATAAAAGTTTTACACGGTCAGAATCGCAAGACTGAAGACCCGCCTTTAGCTTTATTTGCATTTTGTACGCCGTTTGGCCCTCCAAGTTTGTTGGAGTTACCGCAAAAAGAAAATATGTTTAAGTCGAAACACAAATTAGATTTATCATTGGTTTCAATGGATCAGAGGTATTATATAAAGGTGTAAAAAATTGGTTTATTAAAAAACTATTTTTATGATTTTTCAGAGGTAAATTAGCTTTAGGATATTCGGATGCGGAACTTATTAACATGGGCGGTTATGATTTAGTGCACTATGATGATTTGGCTTATGTAGCAAGCGCACATCAAGAATGTAAGCCTTAGCAAGAGCCTGGATAATAATACGTTAATTTTGTTTGATGTATTATTATTTTTGGTAAAAGAGTATATGGTATGTTGTGTAATCGTATTATTTTGTTTAAGTACTAAAAACTGGAGCATCAGGTATGATTGCATATCGATTTCAAAAAAAGGAAGGTGAATGGCAATGGCTCCAAACAAGTTCAAGGTTGGTCTACAAAAACTCGAAACCAGATTTTGTTATATGTACGCACCGCCAGTTAATGGAAGAAGAAGGTAGAGATTTACTCGGGAAACGTACAATGGACTTTAAAGTTAGTTATTTAGATACCGGTTTAGCAACAACATATTTTTCGGAGGCAGATCAACTAGTTGTTGCGCCTTCGAACTCCCCCAATGTTCTTCCACCGCCTGTAACACCTCAGCGTCCAAACCGACGATATAAAACTCAGTTACGGGATTTCTTATCCACTTGTCGCTCTAAGCGTAAATTACAACAGACACCTGCTTTAGGACAGGTACGCTTAAGTAAATTGAAAAATTTAGTTTAGATAAAATTTGTTACTTGCATTTTTTTTTAAATTGAACTAGGTAACTCCACCTGCACCGGTAGTTGAATATATTTCAGACCCAGCAGCGGCTGTAGCTGCGGCTTACTCAAATCTCAATCCAATGTATACAGCCTCGCCGTATACTCCAGCAGACAATCTTTACATCACACCCTCGGTGCACTCGTCTAATTTTTATCCAGTTACAGAAAATTTATTCCACCAGTATAGACTTCCAGGCGTTGGAGGGTATTATACCGATTATCATCATTCATCAGCCTCATCTCCATATGTTGCGAACGGATTTTTATCTTACGATAGTTATAGTCTCAAAGAAGATAAGTGGCAAGATGCAAACAAATATTATAGTAATTATAGTAGTGGTTATGGAAGTCCAACTTCTACATCACAGGTAAATTTATCATTAGGGTTTTTATAGTTTTCAGATGTACTTTTATTTTAAAGGAAAAGTATTGATTACTATTAGGATTAAAAATTTAGTGTTGGTAGTAAAAATTGAAAATTTAATAAATTTCAGATTCCTACAAAAACACCAAAGTCATCACCTCATATTATGGAAATAGTTTCATGTTCCTCTAACGATCCATCTCCAGTTAATACTACGCCTAATAACACGACGTCAGGCTCCAATGCTACAACTCCCGTAACAACTATTACACCAAAAATTGAAAATTCTCCAACCGAAAATTATGAACGTCAAACAGTTCTAATGTGGGGTACAGCTGGTTCAGTTTCTAATGAAAGTGGTACAGCTATTCCTGTTTCCGTAGTTAATTCCACTACAAGATCACCAATACATACACCAAGCTCTAACGGAGGATTATTCACTAATGATCATCAGCAACAAGAAAAGTTAGAAGATAATCATATGAAATGGAATGGCGATACTACAACCCCTTCATCCGCCGTAACGAAAGAAATAGTTGTTTCACCAGATGGCTCGATATATCAAGTACATCATCATGCATCCTCCGAAATGATTGATTCTACACCCTTGTATCCCGGAAATGCGCATCATATGGCACTCCATCACAACGGCAATCATCATCATTCACAAGTTCGTGCAGATGTTATAATGCAAACTGAAAATAGTTCACAAGCAGTGCATTCTACACATCAACATCATCAAAGTCATTCTCATGGTACTGATTCCACAACTACACAAATTTCAGGGCATTTGTCACAATCAACTTCGACAAATCCCTTGGGAAGTAATAGTAGTTGCGAGGTATGGAGTCCTGCAACTTACTCGCAATACCAGTATTTTAGTTATCACCATGCTCCTCAGCACGCAAGCACTCAGTGAGTGTCTTTTTGTAAAAAAGACATTTATCTTTTTTGTTTTTATTATTATTATTTGAAGTACAATTTTAATTTTGCTTCTTTTCCGAATTTATTTTAAATTTATTGAAGTTATTCGCTTTTGAATTGCACATAATTTATATCTGTCCTTTAACAAAACTTTCCTCCAATTTTACAATAAAATACGTATATAATAAGCTACTGAACAAATTCCTTAAAATAATCATCTACAACTCGTGCTTTAAAGTGGATTTTATAATATTTCAAAACTTTGTTACAGATCGTTATCAGCAGTAGAAATGCAACAATCGGATCATTATCATACCAGACACAACAACATCAACCACAGCAGCCAACTACGCGGATCCATGGATATTCTCCATCAGCATCTTCCCCAATCGTCATCAGTCCTTCAGCATCATCAAAGTCCCCTTCATCCACATCGGTCGCCGCCATTGCATCATCACCAATCGTTACCCCAGTCACGCTCATTACCCCTCACATCAGCTCAATCATTATCACCACATCATCCACCGGTGGTTGCCCCACAGCCATCATCGCTGCACCATCCTCATGTACATCGGGAAACAACAACATCAGTTGCAACGGAACCATTAATAACGATGGGATCACCTTCCCACCATCCGCCTGTAGCAGCAACGGCAACCCCAGTAACAGTGGCATCTGCAGCAGCAACAGCGGGATTAACCAGCATCTCACCAGGCGTCGCCAATCATTCTCCAATATTACCTCTCACACAGCTCTCACATACGCATCACCAAATACGTACATCGATCACCAACACCCGGACGGGAGTCCTTTGTTGTCCTTCTCTGAGGTGACAAACACGTTATTAAATCAATGAAATTTTAGGTAAAGTGAATAAATTGGTTTTTAATGCGAAAAGGAATGTGGTTGCTTTTAAAATTGTCGTTATAATTAAATACATTTACTCTTGAAATTTCTTTGTGAGATTTCCATTGTTCTCTTTAGCTTTATTTTCACAATTCAATTCATATGGTTTTTCCTATAAACTCTAAGATGTAGTCGTAGAATTTGTTTTTAAGAGCGTATCAAATGGAGAGTAAAATGTTCCTAATTAGAAATCGTTCATTTCCTTACATTCGATTTAAAAGATAATTCCCTAAAGGTCTAATATATAACATATAATGAATATAATATATACCTGCATATAATGGTATGATTGATTTTATTGTTTGATTGACAATGTTTACGTAATATTTTGATAAAGTTAAAATAGATGGTGAATTTTTGTTCTTTACTGCAGTCCTTAAAAGTACATGTTTCGAACTTAGACCTAAAAGTTAGTTTTTGAAAACAAAAAAAAAATGGTTTGGTTTCAAAACGACAATGTGATTCAAAATTTTATTTTTAGCTTAAATCCTAACCAGAAATTCTTATAATTTATTAATAAAAAAAATTAATTTAATTGTAATTCATTTTTTTTAAATGTATAAAAAAACAAATAATATTAATCAACGCTTTGTACTCTGTTATTTGTACATGTTATCAACATGAGGGTTGCCATACTTTTTATTAAATAGCGAAATATGCATATCGACTTGCTAGTTTATTGTTTTTTTTTTCAAATGGAAAGAAAATTTTACTGCCAGTAATTTGAGATATGTTTTATCATTGTGTATATAATTCATAGTGATATGTAGAACACATTTTTTTAATTACACAACGAACACACAATGTAATTACATCTTTTCGAGAGGCGCTAGTGAGTAAGTCACAAGTTTTTTAGTTTATAATTGCGCCACTCAAAAAAAGTACAGTTCTATATCTATTATATAACTACAAAAATTGTCTTCTATATATCATTATAAACTACATACATATAACGTATATTATTCTTGACACATATATTGCAATATAGTGCAACGTTAACTTATATATACATTTGAACAGAGTGGAATCATCTTAACCTTGGCGAATATAACAGAATCATGTCGGCAACAGTATTGTGTCGCCAACACTATTGTTAACGGTAACCTTGCTGGTATTTTTTGATTGAACTTTTAAACTTTTTAAATAAATGCAACAAGGCATCTTAAATTATTCAGTTAAGTTTTTGGTGAACTCGTTTTTCATTTTGTTAACAATTCTAATAATAACGAGCCGTGTCAGATAGATCATGTCAATCTACACTAAAACAGTTTCATTTGAAAATTTGCTATAGATAAATTTCGCCCAATAACATTTACGAAGCGGTCAATTATTTTATGAAAAACTTTTGCCAATTCATAGTCGCACCCTTTGAGACGTCAACCAACAAAATTGTTATTGTTGAAAGAAAATAAATTCACTAAATTTTTACGAATACCTTTTTTTTTAGTAAAAATGCTTTGGTCTACCCTGAGGTACAACTGAATAGCTGGTTTCTATTTTTTTGAAAAGAAGGGAAGAGAATCAGTTACCCTCAATATAGGTCAATACTAACCGATTTTTAACCGATGACCTCTTAAGTGATAATAAAGTATCGCTTGGGCGGTACTGTGCTGCGTCTTAGAAATGATTTTGGACCTTGATGAGTTTTAAGGTTAATCTTAATTTTTCAACCTCATTTTGAAACTTTTTTAACTTCAAAAGCCTAACATTTTTGAAAGACAAGTTCTTACTCTACATTATGTTATTTTGTGATTTAATACTTGGACAACGTAATAATGTGAAATACAAAAATTCGTAAAATATTCCTGCTTTCAATCTCGTTAAATTATTGTTGATTATTAATTTTATTTTGTGTTTGATAAATTTAACGTCATACAGTTATATTTGATTTCATCATGTTTATTTAATTTTGTTTTGATTAACCTAAACATTCATTTATTGTCTATTAAATTAGTATACAGTTTATTCGTAATGATACACAATATTTCGAAACTAGTCTTAATAAAAGAAAATATAAAGAAATAAATCAAAATAATTTTAGTTTCAAACCATAAACTAGGTATAATTATGTAGTAGTAATTTTAATTTTGTATTAATTTTGTTATAACTGAGGATATTTAATTTTTGATCTAATGTAAATTTGTTGCTTAGTAAAGATTCACTTTTTATAAACTAATTTACCCTATTTGTATATTTTATTTCAAAAATTCTCTTATATTGTAAGTCTCATCACTTAACGTCACAAGATTTTATTTAAAAATTGTTAAAAAATTTTCTAAATAAAATTAATTTCGAAATTTTAAATTTTATACTGAAAACCGAAATATTTCTCCTCAATGTTCTATCAACCCAAGTGAAGTGACTGATAGAATATGAGTGACAAAATTATACTGCATTTCATTAATGGTTCTTTGATATTTAAAAGGACACCCAAAAAGATTCCCATACAGGTTGGAGGTGTAAATGGGCAAAATGATGTTTTTAAGTCAGAAGGCGTTGTACATTTTTATTTATTTTTTGATCTTTCAAAAGTTTGTGTGTAATATTTTTTATTTGTCATATTAAATAATTTATTTTATAAATTTGGTTTATACATAGGTGTCTTTGCTAAATTAATTTTTTTATTTTATTCCGCAGCAGTACGAAAGAGTGTTATTCTTGTTACGGTATAATACGAAGTGTTGCATTATCCTCTTTCTTGTGGAGGCATGGGCTTTCATTAACAAATTTATTTTCATCTATACTTTCTATAACGCGTGTCGTTAGAAAAATGATTTTGTAATTAATGTCAACATTGTGAGACATTATTGCCCACCGGTTATCATACTTTGAAAACTTTCATACATACATATGTATTAATTATTGACATTTGAGTTTGTTACGGTATTTCTGTTCTTAAGATGCAATAGTTTCAGAGGTTTGATTAAATTAGTTTTTGAATTGTATAGCAACTAGAACCAATGTCACGATAGCATTTAAATTAATATAGTTTTGTCGCTAACGGGTATGAATCATTTTTGAAAATTTGGCATATTTAAATCAACTTTGAATTGAATAATTAGCAAGAATATGCATTAGTGTATACGCAAATGTATATCTCAGACCATTAAATTTCATCGCTACAAAAAGTGTAATAAATTTTTAACAGTTTGTTTGGTTCAATGCCAAAAAAAGTGTTAAGAATGGTGAAATATGATGATGATTTTGAAGCAGGTTTCTGATAGGCTGCAGCTGGTCTAAAAATTTTTAAACATGGTTTTAAACTTAATTTTCGTAAACAAACCTCTTAAATGAATTTATCATTGCTTTATAAAATCATTAAATAGACCAATAAATAAAAATAGTATCGATGGATGTTTGTAAGAAATAAAAAAATGTTTTATTCTATTTGTTTACCAAATTTAAAATAAAAAAAAGAGAAAAGTTTATCAATACATAAATAAAATAAGAGCTAAATAACTTCCAAGTAAAAAAGTAAAAAAATTTTAAAATTTGCACTTTTTGCGTATTTGTAGCCAACTGCTTTTACAAATGATATTTTCAATTATGTTTTCAACAATATATAGAGTGTTTAATATACAAAATTAATTTTAAATGAAAAATACAATTATGCAAATCAATTTTTGAGTATCTAAAATAAAAAAATATAAAAATATTAATAAATAAAAGCTTTAATTATCTGAACAAATTGTTATTGACCAAAGTTATATAATTTCTAAGAGCTTTCTGTAATAACGATGCTTGGTTTAAGAATGTTAAGGATACGTAAATAGAAAAATTGTATAGAAAACATCGATTCTAAATCTTTCGTTGAAAATCAATTAGATTGTGCTCTACCTAATGAATAAGAAATGATTTCTTTCTTTTACACCCGATGATCGTAGCAACATTCTGTCAATTTACGTAAAATTTAAAGGTTTTTAAGGAAGCTTGCAAGCAATAAGCCTATTAATGTAAAAATGATGTTTTTTTTCGAGTTTGACTCTTTAAGGCATTTTACAAAATTAATAAATTTTTTTTGTTGACAATTGTTTTCCTTTTTTTGAATATCAATTGAATGAATTTTATGTTTTTGTATTTGTGTAAACTAACAACCAAAAATACTTGAAGACTTTTTGGTCTGACCGGAAAATTTAATATATTTGAAATATAAAAGTTTCAGTATATCAAAAAGTAGGATCATAAAGTAACTTTCTTAAATCAACCATCTCGGTTAATATAAAACAATTTGAATTTGTGAAGAATAGCACAAATGAAAATTTATTTACGCATTGAATGAAAAGTTTGAAGAATTAAGAAAAAATTTTGTAATGAGAAATCTGCAAATAAAGTAGTACATGTATGTATGTATTTTATACATATAAAAATAGTTTTATTTAAAGCAAAATATAAACATTAAAACTTATAATACATTAAAATATCTTAAATCTTTTCAAATGTACATATATATAATTGAATATTCTGTAGTAGTTATTATAAAAGACTTTTTTTTCTTAATTATTTATAAATAAATTAAAATTTATACTTGTATTAGTTTTATTATAATAGTATAATTATTAATCTATTATAGCCTATTAATGAATTATTCCAAAGATTAATTTAGTAATGTAAGTATGTATACGAAAATGATAAACATTAATCTGGAAATGTATATGTATATGATCAAATAAAAAATTAAAATATAAATGTGTATAAGAGTTTAAAATATTTATTATGTATATTCAAGAAATCTAATACATATTACGCATACTATGTATGTATGTATGTTTAGAAACTTATATAATAAAACCCAGATAATTATGTTGTATATGTTTAACAATATTGTATACGTAAACATATAATGATGTATTTTATTATTATATTTATCAATTAATATAAAACACATTCAAAAATAAATCAAGCATATAAATTTAAAAACTGGAAAAACTTGTTGTCTAGTACGTATTTTATTGTAATTTCCCAAAAAGATAGTTGTACAATGGAAAATATTGGTACTATTACTATTAATAGTTTGTAATTGGTTGATTTCTGATGACGACCAAATGATGATAAGGTTAAATTATTTTTTGATCGTTTCAAAATTTTATTTGAAAAATTGTCGGTTTCAACAAAATTTTACAGTGTATGTGCGTTTGATGTTCAAATTTGTAGATGAATAGAGGTAGAGTTTGTAGATAGATTAGTTTGTACGCAATTTGTAAATCACTGAATTCACAATTCTCAGCTTTTCCGCTTCTTCTATATTTATTCCTGCTGTCGATAAATGTTGCCCCTATAAAAAAAAAACAAAATAAAAAATAGGAGCTTTTAAAACAGTAAATTTAATTTGGCCAGTGTAAAAAAAAATTAAAAAAATTGATAAAAAATTTATAGGCTATTTTTTATTGAAATTCCATCTAGACAAAAATACTGAAGCGAACGAGATCTCTCGATTCATCCTAAAGCGCTGTGAGAGCAATTCCGTGCTTTCCTTCACGGAATCTAGACACAAAAATATGATAGACCAAAACTAATGGTTAGTCAGTTTGATTAGTTTTGGCAGGTTATGATCATCCAGGCGCGTTTTAGGTTGGGTTAAAGTTTCCCAATATTGCTTGGTCTGGTGACAGTTTGGGTTCCGCCTATTTTTGTCTTTGATGATTTTTAATACCTGTATTGGAAAAAAAATTAAATAAACGTGATTGAATTGCTCTTAATTTTACTGTACCTATGCATTTTTAAGTCACTTTCTTGACAAAAACAATGTAACAATAATCGTTGTGCCTTAACTAAATTTTAATTAACCAAAAAATTCAAGGTTTATATTTAGTATTAATTTTTCTGAAATTATTGTTTCAAGATTTCTCCTAAATATATGCAAAACTATTATATATGCCAACAAGATAATCACTCGAGTTCACCAATCGCATCTGTTAGCATATCCCTGAACGACAAAGTTTTGGAAAAGTTTTTCCATAGCGGGAGGCAAAAAAAAACCAAAGATATGCTTTGCAAAAAAGAAAAAAACATTTATAAATATATCTGACTTTCACATAGAGAGGAAAATTGATCTTTCTCCACTAGTTGACAAAACTCTGCTCAACATTCATAATCGGATTCTTATATAACTATTAGTTGTAAATTGTATATTTATCGTTTTTTAACCTATTAAAAAACTATTATGTACTATTGAATTTAAAACAATAATAAAAATTTAAACACATATACCTATAATATAATATCTAAATATACAGACGTTTGCAGATTGCATGTTCATTTCAAATTATTGAAAGTCAATGTCGTACAGTGGAATGCGCGTTTAAAGTGTTCCGGAAAACTTCAATTAATTTGCTATAATATAATATTTTCATAAACTGAAAGTAAATAAAAATAAATTTTTAAAAAGAAAAAAAAAAGAAAATCAGGCAAGTTTTGCAACTTCCTTTACATCAATAAACTTACATTCATACTTATGTAGTTTTATAAGCAGAAACCACGTATTGCACAAGTAGGTATTGGAGTGATAATAAATTTGCTAGAATATAATCGGTTTTTTCAAACAAATGAAAAATTAACTTAAATCAATTAACGTAAGTTTACTGAAACTAGTAAAAATCCTCTTAGCACATCTATAAAGCTTAAAGGAAGTTTTTTTTCTTTAAAATGCAAATTGTTATGATTCTTAATTTTTGATGAACTCATGGTTTTATAGATTTTTTATTCAATCACAGTTTTTTTCATTCACTGAAATAGTTGGTAATATTATCGTGACAAAATAGAATATTTCTGGTGAATTAATATATTCTCATTTTTTAATTATTCATACATTTATTTAGAGTTAGAAAATTTGTGCATTATGCAGGTCATAAAAGTGCATAAGAAACATTTTTTTACGTTTTATTGCAAAAAAAATAAAAACACAAAAACAAGAATAGCTGTTGATCTGAATATGAATACCTTAAAATAAAGCATATGGTAAAAATCTTTTGAGCTTACTTTTATTTTGATTGTAAAATTTTATTTTCAACTTGCATGTAATGAACTAATTCAAAGTTTTGAAAATTTTTTTGTTTTGGCTACTATTTTCAATTTAAAAATTTGGTTCAATGAAAAGATTAACGAATCTAAAATTAAATTTAAAATTTTTGTCAATGTACAAAGAATTGAGTGCAATAAATAGCCTACGATAGATGAATTGAGTCTTGAATATGTGCATCATATTTTAATTACAAAAGCTTAATTTTTTTATGTATCAGATTGTAGCTAAACCGACTCAACTAGAGAAATCTCAATAGAATGAACCCTCTAAAAGTTGAAACACTTGACCTGAGAAATGGAATTTGATATAAGTTTTATTTAAATACTCTATAAACGATTCCTTTTTTTCGGTATATATAAATTATTAGATTTTAAATATCTTATAACATAATTTCATCTTTGAAAACATTTTTTGTAATTCTCGCTTATCGCAAAAATTGGAAATAAAACATACAAGTTTGATTGCTTAACAAACCAAAGGCTTAAATATGTTTTAGCGTAAATGCTTAAAAACACCTTGAAATATGAGTATGGAACTATTACACAATCTTTATTTTTGTCACCATTTCTTTTTTTTTATTTAAGTATCAAATTATTACAATCCTCAATTTGGATATCACCAGCTTTATAAAAAATGTATAGTGTACTCGTATTTGTTATCGCAAAAAAAAAAAAAATTACTATTTTGTGTTTTTTGGAGAATTAATGTTCACATCGTTGTATAAATTTTTAATATTTGTTGGGAAACAAAGAAAAATTATGATATTGTAACAAACGTGGAAGGAAACTATAAATTTTTATTAATTTTTATCGTAAGGATATTTTATTTTCCTATGTTTCCTATCCAAAGAAGTAAATAAATTAAAATAAATTAAATTTATAAATTCGTCCTGATAAAGTAAAAATTTTGAATTTTTTTGCTATTATAGGTAGAAGAAAGAAACATTATTATTGAGATTTTTTGATTAGTGCTCTACTTTGGGAAATGAGTGACAAAAAAGTTTTTAATTCGGTGAATATTTAGCAGAATATTTTTTAAGGGAAATTTGCGTAAATTAGCCCTGTGATGAGGTCACAATAAAAAATGATTAAAAAAGAATACGCTTAGTATTATATATTTTGGGTTTTAGTACGTTTAAGAAGAAATTAGGAGGGCACTTGTTTCCACGAGGGAGGTTTTAAGGCCTCCAAAAAATCTTTGACATGAATAAAATTTTAGTACAATCAAGCGGGTTATCATTAAGAAAGATCTTAAAGTGTTCAAGAAGTTTGTTAAAGCACTAGAACAGTTAAATAAACTGTCCCTTCTCTCCCGCCCTTCTTCAATGATTGCATCAAAGCGCGACGGGTTAGCTAGTTAACAATGCAATTGAAGCTTCACGCATTAGTATAAATCCTTCTTTCCTAAGGCTTCTCCGCAACTTGTGAAAAATTAAGTGTATGTACATGTGGTTATACTAAAGTTATCTTTGGATTATTTTTAATGCTTAAAGCTATAAAAATAGAAGTTTTAAACTCGTAAATATCTAAAACGTGGTATATTTCTTTAAAAACTTCCCTAAATAAAAGATTGAGAAGTATGTTACTTTTAGAAGTAAAACCAATTTCCATATTAACCAATTTGATTGTTGGAGTCAGTACTTCATCTGAATCTTGTTTGAGTTTTCGTGACAAAATTATTGTATTGCGAATTCCATGAATTAAGTAAAATTTTATAAATATAATATTATTTCGAATTTTTATTACGTTTTTTTTCTCAAAAAATAAAAAAAATTAAATAGTAACTTAAATTAAAGTTTAATATGTATATACTTTTTTACGACCCCCTTCCATGTGGTTTCAAATATTTTATTACCGTAAGTCACTTTCTTCGCATTTATTATTAAAATCGCGAAAGATTATAAAGTTTTTTTACCTTTCGTTTTTTTCTGTTGCCTTAATAAAAATAATAAAAATTGTTTTTATTTATAGGTTTTAAGAACAATATGGTAAAGAACAACATTATATAAATAAGCATAGAAATAAATCTTTTTATAGTTTTCAGCCCATTTACAAATATTTATTATAATAAAACTATATGTAGCTGTACTTATTGGCCTTAATTTACAGGAGCATTTGTTTATGAATGCATGTACACAATGCGTATGTATGTATGTTTGATTAAATTATTTCTGTAATTAAAATGAATGAAACATAATTTTTAAATCCAACTTTTACTTGATTTCATTGCTTTGTTAACATATATTGTACCTTTAAAAATAGATATTAGACTGCACTTTGAATAAGATGCTCTACTGCACTGTTGCAGGAAATTTCTAAAGCTTATGATCTCGTTTGCAGTCAACAATTCATTAACAAATTTTAGTGTGATATTTTCATAAAGGAAATCGAAATGATTATAGAAGTAATTTCACTTAAAATTTATAATCAAATGTACCAATAAAAATATATATTGAACATCAATAGAAAATTAGAATTATATTATGATGTATTTTAATAAGTATTTTAATAATTGTGAGAAGATTTTACTCCTGAAATTATTTTAAGCTTTCATTAATATATTAAAAATATAGGATAAATATGAACGAAGGCCGGTATTAGGCCGGTGGATGCAAATTTTATACACAATAGATTATAACAGAGTCGAATTGATAAAAAAAATATCTAGAAAAATTTTGTCTCAAAAATTTAATCTGTACTAACACTCTATTTATAATTTTTAGATACATGCTAGTTATAACTTCTATAATTTATCATTAATTTATAAAGATTCATATTATTGACTAATTTTCTTGAAATTTAAAATAGATTTGTAAATGACGCCTAATCTTCTTGTGAATTGTCTCGCTATATTAATATGTAATTTATTAAACTTATTGGATTTGTAAATATTTTTTGTGAATTGTTCAGTGAACCCCATATCAAGTTTTTGGGAAATCATGAGAAGAATTGTTTTTAAATTTTTAAATTTTAATAAATTCAGAATAAAATATAAAATACAGAAAATTCATATTGAAGTTGAGTTAGTGTTTTGTGCATTTTTCGTGAATGTATTTCTTTATAAACGTTTGTTAGACAAGTAATATTTTAGTTGCTACTATACATTCCTAACCGTCTATGAATTCTCTGAACATCTCGATTTCATTTATTTTTAAGAAGTATTATTTTGTTACTAAATACTTTTTTTAGAATGTATGTATAATAGATTTAAGTTTTTTATTTTTAATATACCTTTGTATATATGGATACATACCTATGACTATCACCAAAAATACAAATAGTATTTTTGTTGTTTTGTATGTGAATATACTCGTATAATTAAGTATTTTATTGTTGTATGGGATACTGATTTATCTGAATGTCATTGTCCGAATTTTTCTTGCTCTAAAATTCGAATATAAGTATTGTATAGTATTCCATGTACAAACATTATATATTTTTTATAAACGTATTGTGGGCGTTGGCATTTGTATGGTGTTATATACAGAATATTGAATGTGCATATGCATATAATTGTACATATGCTTAAATAGAATTTTTAACATATGTATGTATATATACATACATATTATACATGTTTATGCTCAATCAGATTTAAATATACGTACATTTAAATATAATAATATATAAAAATTACGCATTAATATGTGTGTAAAATATAATCTGTTTACATCGTATGCTTGCGAAATATGTTTGTATGCATTGTTATATTATTATAATTGATTGTTTAATATTCAGAGAGTCAAAGGAA